TTCCGTGATTCTGTGATTCTGTGTGATTCATTCAGAGCAAAATTAAAGCGATTCCTGCGAAAGGTGAATGGGACGCAGCAGGTCAGGCTCTTTTCACAGATGTAGCAAATATCTTTCTGTCATTTCTTAGAAAAAACAGACCTGCTCCTAGCATATATGGAGCTCTCAGGGAAGCAGCTTCCCTGCTCATGCAGCTGCATTAGCAAACAAGTGTGCCTGCAGTGCTTGTAGGGTGCTTTAGCCCTTGAGACTCCCAGTAGCACACTGGTAGCCTTGGCCTGAAAAGCCCTGTCCTGTTAACAAGAGCTTGTTGTCCTGGGAAAGTCTTCAGCTGATTTACTAATGGAAAGAAATGCCTCACTTGGACAAAAAGAAATCTAGGTGTGCCAAGGCAATCCTGAAGCAGGATTCTGGGGAAACAGAATGAGCTACTTCATTAATGTTGTTTTATCCTTTAGGTCATGGGCCCCAGGAAAGATTTGCGTTTCAGCTTTATGCAGGTTTTTTTCCCCCCAGCTGCATTAAAAAAGCAGACCACAGCCCAAACTCTGTGACAGCACTAAAAAAATTCAAAGCAATTTGTAGTGAAGCAGCCCTTCAATAATGTGATTTTCCATTTGCAAGCAAAGTGAAATTTCTGACTTATTGAAGAAATCTTTGTGTTTGGCTGCAAAGAGAGCAGAGAAGTCCAAGTGCAGTGAGCTGCAGTACAACTCGCTGCGATGCTGCTGAGCACTGAGGATCCACTGTCTCCCAGCCACTCGTCCATTCCCCACTGCTTCACCCTTCGTCTCTGAGTGCAGTGTTGTGCAAGACACAGTAACAGCTTTTAAGCGTGCGTTACTCTGAGCCTGTTTATGTTCAGATAACCTCCAGCAATTTTATTCATGGATACTTTTTGGATGGAGCAATTGTTTGAGGCTCAGTGGCTTCCACTTTACTTGAGTGACTACCTATTTAATGAATAATTGACTACCTAATTTAATGAATGCACAAGTGGGGGGCTGAAGGCTCCCCCCTGATACCCAGCCTCCCATTTACAGATTGGGAGTGGGATCTGTTGAGTCACGGTTCTGGATATGGACATGGGATGTAATTCTTTGGTAGACCCTTTGCATGGGCAGCAGGACACCGATTTTCTCTCCCTTTCTGATGGAATCATTGCACTTGATGAACTTGATGTCATACATCTTAATGCAGAATCCTGTTAACACAAGGGAAAGAGAGGAGGGAGAAACTTGCTCCTCTGAAATGGTTTAAAAGCCTGACAAAGTTATAATGTTCAGTAGCAAAATACAAATAACAATAACATGGTGAGAGATTCAGCAGCAGAAAAATTTACAGAAAATGCTCTTATGGCATCAAGAAGAGAGAACAGGAAAAGAAATAAATTAACATGGAGAAGGTCGGGCAAGGGGATTAAGGTGGGTAAAACTGCATGAGCAAGTCAGAGGCTGTGTCTTTAGTTATCCAAAATGTGCAAAGGGACCAGCTTCATCCTTTGACTTTTTTAATAGAGGTGAAATGCTGTGATCCTTTCAGTCAATTTTCCTGCTTTAACAGAACCTGGATTTCAAAGTTACCATTTTTACTTGGATTTACAAGCACACTGCGGTTCGGGTTGGGTTCATGATTTTTGGCTCAACTCGAAACTCTATAAATGAATCAGAACTTTTTGCACTGAGGCCTTGCAAGACGCACGTCTTTCACCTCTGATACCTGGTCCTGAAAGCCGGACTCTGTTGTCGATGGCATTGCCATTTCTGTAGGGCCTGGAGTGTCTGTCGATCTTTTCCATGAAGGGTGCATACACCACTGAGCCATCCTCGCACACCACGTCCGCTCCCCTGTGCTTCTTCCCTCCTCCTCTGAAGGAGAAGAAGAAGAAGAAGAAGAGCAAGGTGGGTTAGCCCATGGCAGAGAGCCTGCCAGCTGGAAACCCCACAGCAATGTGGCTGCTTCCCAGCGATACTCTCTGACAGTGGCTTTGCAGGGTTATCCTCAGGGCCTTGATAGCAAACTAGAAATACAGCATCATGAAGGGAAAGA